TCGCTGTCAACATCTCCTCATTCTTTTTCCCGTTCCCCCGTTTGGATACTTCGGCGTGAGCCTTTCCGCCGCTGCTTTTCTCACGGTACAACTGGTTACGTCGGGTTGGGCAGGCGTGCCCGAGGCTCTTTTTTTTTGATGGTAAGGCCCGACTGCCCGAGGCTCTTGGCTCATGGGCGGCTGGCATGGCATCATGCCCATCGAATATCCATATTTCCGTACGTACTCCATGACCCACTACCACATTATTAGACTCCTTATACTTTTCCCCCTCCTTTTTCTATCACAAGTAGCCAAACGCTGCTGTCCCGGCCATGCATGCATGCTATCTCTATTTTTATAAAAAACCGAGTTGATGATGATGCTGTGTCTGATTTACATCTGACGGATAGAAAGTAAACTATGATAATTAAAAAACCTGTACCTTTCTCCATATTTACAGATAAAGTCTTGCCGCGTTCATCCTTATCTCCCACAACCTCATTGCTGAGCAATTAGAAAAGGAAGTCTCTGAAACAATCTAGCATGGTGGCCGCTGCCGGCGCCGTCCATCCCCATGCCTCCACCCAGTCCGACCACCAGTCACCACCACGCTCCACTCCTCCTCACCTTATCTCTCATATTTCTTGAGATATCATTTTTTTTTGATAAAATTCTGGAGATACCATTTTTCCGATAAAATTCTTAAGATATCATTAATTTTTACACATGAAATTACTCTTGCATGGGTCAATCACAATAAGTGTTTTGTAAAAAATGCATCTTGATGTTCCGTGCAATGCACGGGCATCTTGCTAGTACTCATCTGTTTCTTGCAGCGGCGTTGCTGCTTTTCGGGAAATGATGAATGCGGAAACCATACCAATGGTTCATCACAGCGTGCTGACCAATTATTCACTGTACAGTAGAGGAAAAATGGATCATGCTACACGGGCTGTGCAACATCATTGCCACTGACGGTCAAACCCGTTGCATGCGTCTCTTAGCGGTAGGCTGAACCTTGTTTCACCCGGGCTCTCCAATCTGCTCACCCCTAACGAAACAACACCTCGGCGATTCCCATTTTTTGGTTGCACCTTGCATGTCAGGCGCTCCCCGTGCAGCTGAGGTGTGCCATGCCTGGTTCTCGTGGACATCCCAGGGCGGGAGGGGGTCGCGTTCCCCTCCTACGACGGCCCATCTCAGCGTACCATGAGAGTAAAAGCTCATCTTTGGTCAATGCCCCTTCGGTTCTCAACGCCATCCCGTGACATTTTTTTGAAGTCCCATCGTGGGACGCTTCCCTATTGCTCTTCTTCGCCTGATCCGGCAGCTTTTCCCTCTTCCCTGACCAGTTCGTGGGATTCAGCAGTGTTTTGCTCTAGGTGGGCAGTTCGTGGCTAGTCGGGAGAGCTTGGTTCCTATGTTCAACCATATGTCGACGCGACGCCTTTTGAGCCTGACGAGGAGGTAGGTGCCTTCTTTGACAATGGAGTAGGTTTGGGGGTAGACGCTGATTTGGCGGCGATGTGCCCTTCCATTACTGTTGGACTTTCTGCTCCTGGGCGGGCATTCTCCTTGTCCCTGGTGATATGATCGCGCTAGAGGACCTCATCTTCTTCGAGTTGTGTGTCTTCCCGCTGATCCTTTTTAGCTTTGGTGTGTGCGTGAGGCATGTGAGGTTCTTTCCAGCGCCTATGTATCTTGTCGTTTTTATTTCGTATCTTATGTTGTTGTCGAGGTTACCTCAATTGTTATCCTGACCGGTTGTGATCGGTTGATGGCTTTGTTAATTCAAAGTCGGGCTTTTTTTGAGCATACGTTCTAAAAAAACACTTCTTCTTCGGTACAATCCCCTAAATATATCAACGATGGAGATCTCTTCATACTCCATCATAATAAAGGGTAAGATGGTCTTTCTCAAGAATACGTCGCCCGCCGATACAAGATAGATTCAAGTGAATCAAAGTACACGGGGAAACAAGGAAGATGAAACACAACCGGAAAAGACCCGTGCACACACACACACACACACATACACACACACACACACACACACCTCTCCAAGCAGGTCCCAAGAAAATGCCTACACATAAATCAGACAACACCAACCAACCATAAAGACTAGGACAAGAAACAACGGAGACACATAGAAGAAGCAGCACCACCATTGTGGATGAAGAGCTCCAAATAGCCGAGAAGAACCATGACACCTTATTGCTAGGCTATTGGTACAGAGACTATGCCTTGAACGCACGCGGGCGAGCTCAAGGGCGGTGATGTATCTCATTGCTAGCTTGTTCAATCTGCTTATTGTCCGCGAGATCACTAGAGTGATCAAGTCCGACAGGTATCTTCCCAGGGAAATTGCATGTAGGGGTATCTGATCCAAGATTACTGCAGCGTTGCAAAGCAATTTTACATTATAAAATAGACATCAACTACAATGTAATTGTGGAAGCAAAAAAGAAGAAAGAAAAAAGAACCGACCTTTTGTCCACCAGCACCATCGAGCGGAGCTCACAATTGGCAAAGCTGTATATAACCAAGTCAAAATTAGCAACATGCTCCCCCGCAAAAAAGCAGCATACACTTGTGATGGTAGAATCAACCATGGCTGTAGCACAAGAATCTTCATGTTGAGATTTCAAGACAAAAGTTCTCTGAACAAGTAGCTTTGTCTGGTCATGTTATCCCAAGATGAATTATACAATACTTCTTTCCGTTTACCGATAGAAAAACTAGTCAAATTTGCTTATACATGTCAATGTTTAAAGTCCCTGTGTTTACATACCGCAAATATTATGCTCTCACGACAACACAAGTTTGTAGAATATGTCGGGTTAATTAGAAAATTACCAAGGGAAAAAAACTTACCGCTTGCCCAGTTCCTCTGCTATGGCTGGATGACACTCTTTACCGTACATGTTTAAGGTGAAATCCAAGAAACTACTATGAGTGACAATAGCTATCTCCTTTTCTTCTCTTGTCCATAACCTGCGAGCACATCCAGAGATTAGTTTTAATCCGGTTACCAAAATAAAGTTACTGGATGACTCGAATGTCATCTAAGATCTAAGGTTTGTCTTTCTCAATACATGCTACACACAAATCTTGAGCATCTAGGAATTTCTAGTGTCAAATAGTAACTCCGTGATAACTTGCTGGTATACGAGAAACAAGATTAAGATGAAGCATTGTGTGTAGGGGTAGAGTCTATTATCCAAGGCAGACTACAATCCTTCACCACTGGTTCTAGTTTTTCTCTACAACACGCAACACGTGTTGACATACACAAAGTAACACATACGACCACATACATGTAAGTGTAGAGGCAAATAGCCTAATTCGCTAGAAACATGGGACTCCCATCAGGCCAGGAGCGTAGTGGTGAATGTTTGATGAACAAATTGTTTTGAATGACGAAGAAAAATGACCAAAACTGAAATAGGACGTGCAGATGAGGATACATGACATGGAGTTTTTGATCCGAGCTCACATATCCTATAGTAAAAAGGTAAAAAAAAAAGGTAATTTGTGTGTGTGTCTGTATGAGAGAGAGAGAGAGAGAGAGAGAGAGAGAGAGAGAGATAAACATTGATGAATTCTTCACCCGCATACAAAATTTCGTGATGAAATGACATTCATGAAGGTCCAAGAAAACAAAATTGATGCTCCGAATAGACTATTGTTGGAACCATTATGGAGCATCAATTTTGCTTTGCCCAAGCCTCCACGAGTGTCATTTCTTCACAAAATTTTGCATGGAGTTGAAACATTCGCCAACGTTTATCACAAAAAAAAGAATGTTTTGATTTTTTTACCATTATTTTTAAATTTTACTATTCATGAGGGAGCAAGTGTGCTCAGGATCAAAAGAGCACTTTCGGTGCAGATGAATATTATTGAGATACTTGTGTTTCATGTTCATATGAAACACCATTAGGCTTGCATTTTCAAGACATTAAGAAACTAATCAATATTAGAAAGGAAAATTACCAGTCAATGAACTTCATGCCCCTTGCAGCAACAGACTCATTTGATTCTCTTACATCAGGTTCCCAAAGAACATCTTCATCATTCTCTATCTGTAAAGAGCGCACACAAAGATATATTAAAACACCATCGAGACACTCTATTATGAAATATACTTGTGAATTAGCAACAATAGGTACTTGCCAGGGAAAAATCAATGGCAGGAAAGAGAGTATGGTATTTTGTTATGCTGCTCCTCTTGTCACATGGATGAACACCCTGCATTTCTAATATTAATATTTTTCAACGGAGCATTACTGGTGCGAAAGAAGTAGAGACAAACATATGCATACAAATGAGGGTATTTGTCATAGAAGTTAGAATGAAGCTGAATAAGTTATTCTAGCAACTGCAAAAATTGTCTATTCTAATTAATATTTAATGAAAACCAATGTAAATGAGGAACTCAATGTCAAGAACATTATTTATATATGTAGAAAAAATGATTTCTCATGTTTTATTTGTGTTCTTCAGGAGAGAGAAATACCAAGCGCTCCCTGCAGGCCTCAACTGCAAGAAATGGTGGGCAGTTTAGGGATGGCAATGGGTAGGGTATGGGCGGGTACGACCTTTTTCTACCCAAACCCATACCCAATTTTTTTTCTATACCCACCCACTTCACTATCCATGGGCACGAATTGGTACTCATGCCCATACCCATCGGGTATCCTATACCCAATGGGTATCCGGTGGGCATAATATATAGCATTGACATAGCAAAATTAAGATGAGAAAAAGGTCTAAATTCAGGTACTCATTCATCAGAATCAGGTTTGCACTTACATAAAAGTTCACAATGACAATTGACACATAATTAAATGTCTTATTCTCCATTACAAACTAACATTGAGAAAAATAATAATTTGCAAACTTGCAATGCTAAGAACAATCAGCCAATGAGCCAAACAACATGGCATGAATAACAACAATGTGCGCCCATGCTTCAATGCTAATAGCACGTCCCTCCTGCATGCCACTTGCTCATTTTAGTCTTCAATGGTGACTTCAGATTCACATTCCTCCTGCAAAAGAAATAAAAAGTATAAGGATGTACACAATAACATCATTGGTATGAACAGGATAAGTTGTAAATGGATGCAACATATTGTTACCATAGCTTCTTGTTCATCTTCAAGAACAGATTGAATCGCAAAGTGGTCGGATGTGACATTATCTAAAGCAAAGTTATTCGACATTTAGTTAGAAGATAGTCAAAGAAAATAAAATACAATTCATAATTATTCATTACTGAAATGAATGGATTATTACCAAACATATTAGCACGACTCCATGCTTGCATGCACATAAGAGCTTCAGCGGTTTTGGGTGCAAGGCGACTTCGATGTGCACTAAGTATTCTGCCACTGGTACTAAATGCAGATTCGGATGCCACGGTTGTGACTGGAATGGGTAATATATCACGAGCAATCCTTTGCAAGGTGGGATACTTCATACCTCCAACCTTCCACCAAGTAATGATGTCAACCTCTTGTGTTCTAGGGAGAGCAGGCTCCTCTAAGTACAAGTCCAATTCTGTGCGTAGCTGAGAAGAAACAATGGGCTGCTGCATCATATATTGATCAAGTAATATGCCCGCTTCATCGTCCTGATCTTTGTCAGCTTGGACAGCAACTTGGACAGAAGCAGCAGGCTCGTCGGATTCTTTGTATTCAAGCAACAATTCAACCATAAGTTTTTTTTATCTCATCAACTTTATTGGCTGCATGTTCATATCCATAAAGAGATCCAAATAAAGCCTGCAGCATGTGAGTTTTATACCTAGGATCAAGAATAGTTGCCATGGCCATAAGACCATGCACATCAAGCCAATACTTATCGAACTTTTCCTTCATTTCTTCGGACATCTTTTGCATCAATTCATTATTACTACCTGACCATTTCCTTATTGCCAAACGAATACAACATATCTTTGGAAAGAAAATATTAGATGTCACGTATTTAGTGCCCGACAATAACTCTGTGATATCATAAAAGATCTTTAGCTTATCACAAACCTCCTTCGCAAAATTCCAGTCTTCTATTGTTGGACAACAATCAAAATGTTTAACTTGTCGACTTAGACGATAAAAAATTTCTTGATATGGCAATGCAGTGCTAAGCATGAGATAAGTTGAGTTCCATCGTGTTTTACAATCAAGTCCAATCTTTCTAGTGTATGGAATGTTCAGAGTGCGTGCCATCTTTTCAAACCTTTCATGCCTCTTTGGTGTGGCAGACCAATAAGCAACACTATCACGGACCCTCTCTATACCTTCTTTTAAGACACTCATTCCATCTTGAACAATCAAATTTAATATATGTGCACAACAACACATATGGATTAGCTTGCCTTGCAACATAAGAGAGTTAGAATCCAACTTATCTTCCATATTCCAAATAGCTTTATCATTTGCCGCACAATTGTCAAGAGTCACTGTAGATATCTTCCTCTCAAGATGCCACTCGACGAGGACTTGATGTAGTGCTTCGCATATAACTTCAGAGTTATGAGGGCATGGCACATACATGAACCTGGAACATAATACATAAATCAGTTTCAAACATCGAGTAGATAAAACAGTTTCAGATTTACATGTAGATAAAATAGTTTCATATTACAATGCATGGATATGGTTTTTACCTTAAGAGAAAACTCTTTAATTCCCAATCTTCATCAATGAAATGTGCAGTAACAACCATATAGCCTTTCTTTTGATGTCCAGCAGTCCACAAGTCAGTAGTCACAGCCACTCGATGGTTGAATTTTGCGAAATACTGGATCATGGCGTTCTTTTGTGTTTGATGGAGACCAATTATATCATTCTTAATGTATTTCTACTGACCATCTTGAACATAGGTTGTAAAGATGCACAAAAAGATCTGAAACCAGCATGATCAACGATGGACAGAGGGTACTCATGCACACATATCATGATAGCAAGTTCTTTCCTAGCAACATCTTGGTCGAATACATAGTTCTCGGGTACGGTATGGTGGGATGGCCGGCTATGGGCCTGTGGTCCATGGGCTTGTTAAGGTAATTACTATACGTTTACCATATATTATATGGTTTAATTTATTTATTAATGTTTTGGGTATCCATTGGGTTACCCATGGGTATAACTTCATACCCATACCCTACCCATATATTTTGCGGGTATGGATACCCATTACCCATGGGTATGAAAAGGTAGAAAGTCTCACCCATGCCCACTGTTTTCGGGTACGATATCCGCGGGTATCCATAACCATGGGCAAAATTGCCATCCCTAGGGCAGTTCAAACTTGTAATCGCCTGACGTCCACTGTGTCCAACACCTTCTACCATTAATGATGATGCACTTACCCCATCAGTATAGTTGCCACCAAAGACCCCCACCGCAGTTTGTATAGTCCTGTGAGATTAGTTCATGGTAATACTGTGAGGCTCATTTACTAATAACATACTACTGTAGTGCACTGTCATATTATTATATTTTTTTCGAAACGGAGGCAAAATATTTGCCTCATCTCATTAATTAAGAAGAGTTTTGAAATACATGACCGACCGCCCGTAGACGGCCCGAAACCGATAAGCCTACTCTCGTGGCATAAGAAAACTCAGCCGTTTGGCCCCTGCCAACCCCCAAAGTCTGACCTCCGCCTTGATTCTAGACGTGATTACATTTGGCATGGATGACACCATCCTAAATACTCTCACATTCCGCTCGTTCCAAATCTCCCATGAAACCAACATGACGAGAGATGCGAGGCCCTTTCTCACATTGCCATTGACGCCATCCTCTCCGTTGAAGCCTGTCCGTCGTCCAAACACGGTCTTGAATGATAAGCCAAGCAAAGAATTTGTGCTTTGGCGGCGCCCAATTGTTCCACACTGCAGACTTCATTTTCGATGTAGTAGAGTCGTCGAGTTGAGCTTTGTAAGCCGACGATGCCGTGTACTCACCGGAAGGCGAAAGCTTCCAAACAATCTCATCATCCACCCCCTCATCAAGGAAGACCTCTCGTAATCCAACCCAAAGCTCATAGTATTCAAGGATGGGCTGAATTGTGAGCCCAGAGTTTGTGTTGATGTTGGCAATCCACTTGTTGAGATCCAAAGCCCTATGGATGGTGTCATTCTTGTGTTTGGAAATTGCAAAAATGGAGGGAGCGATGTCTTTTGGCTTGCGACCCCCAAGCCAAGGGGAGTGCCAGAAAGAGGCCCTTTGCCCGTTGCCAACAGTGATGGAAGTGCACTCATAAAACAGCGCCATGTCCTCTTCATCGCACGGGTGCCCCAAATCAACCCAAGCTCTTTCCGCGTCCTTCCAAACCAACCAAGGCCATCTGAGCCGTAAGGCACGTGCGGATTTTTCCATGTCCAGGATGCCTAGGCCGCCCATGTCCTTGGGCGTACAAACTTTCTCCCATCTTATCTTACATTTGCCTCCAAAAACTTTATCCGTGCCTCCCCAAAGAAAAGCCCGCTGCAGCTTGACGATGGACGCCATCATTCCTTTGGGCACCACAAGGGAAGTGAGGTGGTGGATGGCCTGCGAAGTGATAACCGACTTTACCCACGTGCTCCTCCCAGCCATCGTAATGTACTTTCCCTGGCCAATCATGATCTTTCCAGCAATCTTATGAAGCAAATGCTGGAAGTCGACAACCCGCAAACGATGAATGGATAGCGGAAGGCCGAGGTATCGCAAGGGGAACTGAGCTCTGACCGCTGGGAAGGCACCCAGAATCATGTCAAGGTCGACATTGGAGCATCTAATAGGGGCCACAGCATAGGAGTTCTGATAATAATGTATACTAGATAAGAAGATTGCGTAGCTATTGACATGACCGACATGATTAAGGGTGTAAGATTTTTATGCACATGGGTCATGTAAGACATGTAGCAAGGATATTCGTTAGTACAAAACCCAACCTACAAAGCTTAAAAGAAGATCCAGAGTAATGATATTATGTACAAGAAGATTAGAAGGTCAAGAACAAATATACCTCAGTAGAGGAGAAACAATAACCAACTCAATCTTTTTTGCTAGTCCACATTCATTGACACGCTCTCGCAGGCAATCAACCTACAAATGCATGTAAATCAACACGCATTGTCACCTTAAATATTTGAAAAAAAGCACGACCATAGTTGGCCACAACACAATGTGTACCTTTGCTATTAGAATTGACAACACATGGTGATTAATTAATGAAAAATAATCAAGAGATCTTACTTGGCTCCAGCCCAAAGGGGTAATGTGGACATCAAGCAGCGCAGGAGACTTGTAGGCGCTGTGATCCTTGTCGCCTTACACATTATGAATACCCTGAGCATGCCTGACCTGTAGCACGTTTGTTACAGTTAATCAGATTGGACATTCTTTGCATCTTTTGTATAGGTTAGTCGCTGAAAACCGAGGAGGTGTAGTACCAGGTATATGTTTTTGCAGCGGTGCTGAGGATACAGAGCAGTGCGAGCACTGGCCTCCATCTCTGCCCAAAAAATTAATTATCATGACTAAAAAATCAATTATTGTATTGTTATCCAAAAAGGGAACGGACAGATAACCACAATGGAAACAAGCAGTTACATCGTTGCCAGACGTAGTTGGTCAAATTAGCAACTTTCCCACTTTGATTCCACTTAAATTTGCACGTGCTCTATGTACCGGGAACTCACGCACTCTGAGGTGTCCGGGAAAATGATAAAACAATATGTAAGTCGGAGATACCGCTCAAAGTTTAAAGAATTATGTGGTATATATGCCGAGGTTTGGTCGTGACAATGGACAACCTTACTCGTTACAATTGGCAAGCAAGCAAAAAGTGTAGTTTTGTCATATTAATGATATAAGCAAACACCTTTTCTTTCCTTGCACTTTTGCATGTGCTACATGGTCAGTCATCCATGTAGGGCCAAACGTGCATCCGCTGAGCAATGTTGCTAATACAAATGATCAATTGCTAGATTGTATTCCATGCAAATTTAGTGATTATTAGTGTGAGAGCGTCTAACTTATTATGGCCACTATGTCTACATGGAAATAAAATAGTTTTTAAAGGTGAAAGTACATCTCCGAAGGTTACCTACCAGTGTGTGCACTGGCTC